AAAATCAACCAGCTTGATGCAGGCCTAGCAAAGACAATATATAAAGAATATAAGGTGATTTAAATCAACCAGCCTGATGCAGGCCTAGCAAAGTGCAATATGTAATAAATATAAGGTGATTTAAATCAACCAGCTTGATGCAGGCCTAGCAAAGTGCAATATGTAAAGAATATAAGGTGATTTAAATCAACCAGCTTGATGCAGGCCTAGCAAAGTGCAATATGTAAAGAATATAAGATTAGACGATAGTTTGTGAAGTCTTTCAAACGTAGAAATCACAAATCTCTATGTCTGTGCAGAATTGTTATACAATTAACCAATGAGAGAATATTGTTACTTGCCTTTACTACAAAAGGAAATATTTCACTACGGTAACGTTGTGTTGTCAAGTTGCGATCTTATCTAAATGTGTTATCCTGATACATTCAATATACGCCAACATAAAATTTAACGATGCATTATACATACGTGAAGATTTTGAAAAATTATCTGAAATTCTGAGTAGAAAATACAGAAAATTTAAGGTAGGGTCCATTAAATTACACATAATACTTAGTTATACGTCGAGCATAAGGCTTAAAAAATATTATTACCTCACAAGCTATAAAAGTGAACAGTGCCAGAGTAATTTTCTAATTGAAGTTAGGTGCTTTTTGTACTACTTGTAATTTGTCTTTACTTTCTATAGAACAAGAGTATGGTTGTGACGTATAGACGTGGGCGTTACTATCCTCACAGGCATTGTTATGTATAATAATGTGAATCAACTCTATAGCTTTATGAAGCCCCAGCCCCATCACTCTTTTAAAAGTTTGTTTGTTTGTTTTAAATTTCTCGCATACCTACACGAGGGCTATAGGCGCTAGCCGTCCCTAATTTAGCAGTGGAAGACTAGAGGGAAGGCAGCTAGTCATCACCATCCACCGCCAACTCTTGGGCTACTCGTTTACCAACGAATAGTAGGATTGACCGTCACATTATAACGCCCCCATGGCTGAAAGGGCGAGCATGTTTGGTGGGACGAGGATTCGAACTCGCGACTAGCAGATTGCGAGTCGAGCGCCCTAACCACCTGGCCATGCCGGGCTGGACACAGACAGAGAGACTTTCGTTAGATTTAAATTGATGATAATAACTAACATATTTTTTCTTTAAAATATCTTAATTAAACAGTACAAGGTTTAGATTGCTTGTTCTTATAGAATACAGCATGTACGAGAAGTGAATGTTTGTCCAATTCAAAAATATTATATTTATTTCTTTGCCAGCCATGTTTCGCAAGTCTGTAGTTTTTCAACGTAAAACGTTATTGTTGTATAGTTCCAGCTATTTTAGTGAATATTTTAACGCATTACTGTCACATGTTTCCGTTTTTCCTGTATCAAGCTGCTCGAAGATCTTATGTTAAAATATACATGTGCTCTCTGTATGCTCTGTACGTTTCTGGTCGATTCGGATTCAACGAACAGTCGAATTTTATGCATTTTCGACTCGTGTTTCGTGATTTTTTCCTATTTCTTTAAAGAGTGACAACATATTCTGTGTTTTTGGACTGTCTTGTCTCACAAGTTTCGTTTCAGATTGCGAATAAACATTGTGTATTTATTGTCCATCCTGTTTCACATGTTCCTGTTGAAAGAGTTGTTATTAGTGTAGTAGGCTTCTTGTCTGTCCTGTTTCACATGTTCCTGCTTAAAGAATTGTTATTGGTGTAGTAGGCCTCTTGTGTGTCCTGTCTCACATGTTCCTGTTTAAAGAGTTGTTATCGGTATAACAAGCCTCTTGTTTGTCCTGTTTTACACGTTCCTGTTTAAGGAGTTGTTATTGTTGTAGTAAGCCTCTTGTTTGTCCTATTTTATATGTTCCTGTTTAAAGAGTTGTTATTGTTGCAGTAAGCTTCTTGTCTGATAAGAGGCTTACTATACCAATAATAACTCTTTAAATAGGAACATGTGAAATAGGACAGGAAATAAGTATATAATCGAGGAGTTATTTTTATGGAAATAGAATAAAAACATTAACATGTGAAATAGGATAGATAAGAGGCTTACTACACCAATAATAACTCTTTAAATAGGAACATGTGAAATAGGACAGGAAATAAGTATATAATCGAGGAGTTATTTTTATGGAAATAGAATAAAAACATTAACATGTGAAATAGGATAGATAAGAGGCTTACTACACCAATAATAACTCTTTAAATAGGAACATGTGAAATAGGACAGACAATAAGCTTACTACACCGAGAACAACTCTTTAAACAGGAATATGTGAAACAGGACTATCCTATTTCACATGTTAATGTTTTTATTCTATTTCCATAAAAATAACTCCTCAATTATATACTTATTTTCTGTCCTATTTCGAGAATTTATTTTTCTATCCTTGTTCAGAAAGCGATCATCTACACTATGTTTCTCGTCGCTCCTCTTTTATCTATTTCTGAGTTTTTCTTTATGATTAGGAAGGATTCTTGTATTCTACGTACTTAACCCGTCTTGTTTCACAAATTTCTGTTTAGAAAGCAGTCTTATATTATAAACATCTTGATTATTCTGTTTTAAAGTTTCTACTTAAAAATCTTATAAGTATCTTGCCTTTCCTGTTTTATGGATTTCTGTTTAGAAAACAGTCTCGTATCGTACGTATCTTCGCTGTTCTTTTTATTGTTTTCTGTTTAGAAAGCAGTTACGTATTTTACGTACCTTAATTGTCCTGTACAAAGGTTTCTGTTTTTTTTTCTTTCTATAAAACAGAGTTCTGTTGTGTATTTCTTCTTTGTCCTATTTCACGGGTTTCCATTTTTTCTTATTATTATTTTTGCCTAGAGAACAATAACTTATTGTATATTTCTTGTCTGTTTGTTCTTCATGTTTTTGTTTTTGTTTTTCTTTCTGTCAAGAGTGCAGTCTACTTTTTAACGTAAATATCTTGATCGTTATATTTTACTTTTTCTGTTATTTTTTCTTTTTGTCTCCGGTAAGTTTACGGACTTACAATACTGAAATGTGGTGTTTGATTCTCCAAGGTGGACAGAGCACAGCTAATCTGTTGTGTGGCTTTGCGCTAAAACAAACAATCTTTCTGTCTAAAGTGTAGACTTTTGTTTCATACGTTTTTGCTTTTCTTTCTGTTTAGTGTGCAGTCATCTATTCTATATTTATTGTCTGTCACGTTTTACAGGTTTTCTTTTTCTTTCTGTTTAGTATGCAGTCATCTATTCTACATTTCTTTCCTGCTGATTTTCTCAAGAAAGGTCACAACCAATAGTATAGTTTCATTTGGTTCTATTTCAGACACTAGACCCACCCATATTCTTTGATAATAGTTAAATAGAAAACTAGTCGTTTAATGACAAACTTTTTTTTTTTGTAAATTCAAGAAAAACATTCTTTGTTAAAGAAGGGTGTTTCCTGTCCAGAAACGTAATCTATACCGTAATTTGTTTGACCTGCTTCTCGGATTTAGATTATTTTTCTATTAAGAATCAGCCACGTCTTGTCTGTTTCTTATTGCTTTTATTTAACAAACCCACCCATCCCAACAGGCAACATTCATGTTTTAGCTGTTTCTTCTGTACTCCGTTTCAAGATTGTGGTAGCTCTGTCATTCGACAACTGTATTATCAAAAAAAAAACTAATAACATTTTATTGCACATAATTCATACCATTCAATGTTCTTACATGGAGAATCATCCACAGAATGAACAACACAACCGTTGTTCATTACACTAAATTTCTATGAGTGAGAGCACAGATAGCCCATTTTGTTCCTTTACGCTTAACTACAAACAAACTATGAATGATACTAAAAAATAGCAGATATTTTATCATTTAATTTATAGGGTTATCACAATATCTGATCAACTTCTGTAACTAACTTTAAAAAGTGACAGATATTTTATCATTTAATTTATAGAGTTATCACAATAACTGATCAACTTCTGTAACTAACTTTAAAAAATGACAGATATTTTATCATTTAATTTATAGGGTTATCACAATATCTGATCAACTTCTGTAACTAACTTTAAAAAATGACAGATATTTTATCATTTAATTTATAGGGTTATCACAATATCTGATCAACTTCTGTAACTAACTTTATTTCCGATATTTCGATGATTGGTTATGACTCCTCCTCGTGCTATTTTGTAACAAAGCTGCTGAAATTGAAACTATTTCTGGAAAACATATCATGCAAGAAAATTTAATTTCACGCGTCACGAAAATCAGTCTTCGTAGCACGCGCATCGTATATTTACAGGTGGCGTGTACGCCAAGCAAAACCAATACCCAGGCAAACAAGTCCACATTTTTAATGGCATGATTCTAAATTGAGGCGTTTCTCCGAAGGTTTTTAAAGTATCTTATATTTTATTACCTTATGGATTTTTATTGGGCATGAAACATAGATTATTAGCTTCCTGAGAAATGTGAAAACCAGCATAAATACGTCTGATATTACACAAATCATTCTGTGGTGTTAAGTAATAATATATTTAAATATATGTATAATCATACGTTTCGTTTCTCTCTCTCTCTCTACCAGCAACATGGCCGTGAGCTTGTTTGTTTGAAGTACAGCACAAAGCTACACATTGGGCTATCTGTGCTCTGCCCACAAAGGGTATCGAAACCCGGTTTCTAGCGTTTTAAGTCCGAAGACATACCGCTGTGCCACTGGGAGGCTAGCCGTGAGCTCAAAGATCTTTCTTAGAATATGTTTGGTAGTTACACTGTGATAAGTAAAAAATGTATGTTTAGTTTCACAACACAAATAAAACAGTAATGCTTTTTCTTAATCCGGTTTATGCTGTTTACCTTTAGTACTTCTAATTATCCGCCATTTCCCTTTTGCAGGATGCCAATGTGTCGTATACGATGGTACATTTGGGAACGAGTACGGAGTGTTTACGTCGCCTAACTGGCCAGTTCCTTATGAAGATAACATCAACTGTGTGCTTTACACGTTTCAAGCTCAAGAAGATGAAATTGTCGAGCTAACATTCGACGAGTTCGACGTCCAGAAATCAAATTTAGAGTACGTATCTTTTTGTTCTGTGTGTTATACCCTGCCTACTGAAGCGCATTGACACTTGGCCAGAAAAGTAAGATTTTAATCTCTGCTGTATGCTTTAGCGAACAGAGTATTATTTGTGGTTAAGGATAACCTAAAAATAAAGCGACTGGGGTGAGTGCAGTAATCCACCCCCTCTAACCAGCCCCCCAGTGGCTCAGCTGTAAGTCTAAGGGCTCACCCCGATAAAAACCGGTTTTCGATATTCTTGGTGGACACAGCACAGATAGCCCATTGTGTACCTTTGGGCTCAAAAACAAACAAACAAACCCTCTAGCCTAAACTGCCACTCACTGTGACCGTAACGTAAGCATAAACCGACTTGTAACCCACACTGATACTTCCTGTGACCTTGACCTTACAACAGATGTAATAGCTCATCCGTAATTTATGTATCATTACAAATGCTGTTTACACAACTGAATTACAGCGAATTATACAAAACTCTAGATGTTGATTGCTAGTGGGATTGACCGTTACATTATAACGCCCCCATGGGTGAAAGGGCGAGCATGTTTGGTGGAACGGGGATTCGAACCCAGATTGCGGGTCCATCACCCTAACCACCTGGCCATGCCGGGCCCTCAGAGCACATTTTATTAAATCCCTTATGCGTGTGCGTCAATCTTTGCCAGGCCATCAGAGCACATTTTATTAAACCCCCTTTGCGTGTGCGTCAATCATTAGTTTCTTTTTCGATATTTGCGCAAGGCAGCTCAAGGAATTCCGCACTAGCCGTCCTTAATTTTGAATAGGAAGACTAGAGGGATGGTATTTAGTCAACACTACCCACCGCCAACTCCTGGGATATTCTTTCCTGACCCAATAGTGGATTTTACAATCTCCCATATAGAGCATTCACGGCTCCAAAATGTGAAACGCGGTTTTTTATTATTATTATTTTATGCGGGGAACAAAGCACGAAAAATGGTGCTCGCAGATTTACAGTCCGGTAAGCTGGCCACCGAATCATAGCCCTTAACAAGAAACATTCAAATGTTTATTACCTAATCAAAAAGTTCGAATCACTAGTGATGTCATGTCCTTGTGACAAAAATCTGTTGAGTGAAACATTTCATGAAATAGTAGCATTTACTTGTTTGTTTGTAATCAAGCACAAAGCTACACAATGGGCTATCTGTGCTCTGCCCACCACGGGTATCGAAACCCGGATTCTAGCGTTGTAAGTCCGCAGACATACCGCTGTGCCACTGGGGGCAGCATATACTAGGCCAATGTTTATCATATAATTCAACACGTTTGATACAGAAGAAGCTATATTTGTTTCGGTATACTCGCGCAAAGCTACGCAAGGGCTATCTGCGCTTAGCCACCCAAAAGTTGAGTCAACATTTAGTTTATAGCACCTAGTGCCAACTCTTGGGTTTCTTTTGTTCGGCCAAGTAATATTTGTCCGTCTTACAATGCCCAGCGACCCTAAACTGCGAAGTGCGGTTTTGTGCCAACGTGACGCGAACAATAAATCCATGAATTCACAGATCAGGCAAAAGGCCACGTTAAAGAGTTAAATAATGCGCTTTTACTCAAGATGTGAATCGAAATTGATTACTTAAGGCATATTGAAATAAAGATCAAAAGTAAAATCATTATAAAAGTCAAAATTAAACAAAAACTTATAAAATAATGAAGTTAATTCTTTATTTTTAAAAAAAACTGACAAAAGTACATGATGTCATAAATCAATACACAAGAAAACCGAAACCTATAATAATTGCTTTCAAAGTTCCCGTAAGGTGGCAGCACAGGAGAATCCAATCCTTCTTAGCTTTCTAACTGTATGGTAATCGAACCAATAACTCTGAGTGATATATATTAACACACACAATGGATCATCTATAAAGATCTAGTAATAGGATAATAATTTTCTAAGAATTTATGACAAACAAAGAGAGAGAAAGGTTTGTGCATGCAAAGTAAATGATTGGTTGATTTACTTAACGGGACTGACCCAGCATGGCCACGTGGTTAGGGCGCTCGACTCGCAATCTGAGGGTCGCGGGTTCGAATCCCCCGTCCCATCAAACATGCTCGCCCTTTCAGCCGTGGGGGGCGTTGTAATGTGACGATCAATCTCACTATTCGTTGGTAAAAGAGTAGCCTAAGAGTTGGCGGAGGTTGGTGATGACTAGCTGCCTTCCCTCTAGTCTTACACTGCTAAATTAGGAACGGCTAGCGCAGATAGCCCTCGTGTAGCTTTGCGCGAAATTCATAACAAACTAACGATCAATTAACCAAGATTATTGTTATCAGATTTAAGAACAGTTTTACTGTACAGACCAGACAAGATGTGACCTAAAATTTCAGAGACTTTTTTTGTTTTTATAGTCGAGAGACAAAAATTTTATCATCAACATGACTATAAAAATTCTTCAAACCTTTCTTCAGAGTAGCTGTTCTGATTACCATATTTTATAAAGACTATTACAGCAGCTACAGCTCTGAATACTGAGTGCAGACTAGAATTTTATGTAATACTGTTGGCAGTATTTCACACCTCTATTGACTAGAATTATTATTATTATTTTTAAATTACTACTAGTTAATAATACTTATAAAAGCGGATACTCCGTTTGCAACTATGTTACCTCAGTAAAATTGGTTGACACCATTATTTTGAGTTTTAAGTTATCATCTAATAAAATAGAAACAGAAGTAAGAAGAACAAGAAATTTATACTTTTTGCTATGATATTTACAGACATTCTCAGAACTTGTGACTCAGTCATTACATAGATATTGTTATAAAAGGAAACACTGTATAGTATTGTAAAGTTCAGATGACCAATATAAGAAAATATTTAAAATACCATTCCGATGAACAATCCAAGCCATCCTTACATAGGCAGTGATACCTCCTGCCTGATATCTAAACTGTACTTCTACCAAGACTAATGCAATGTTTAATTTAACTAGGATACCAAAATTGATGATTTTTCCCGAAATATTATAAATAACTCGAAGTAAAATTCTAAACTACATGTTGCTCCGAAAAGCCTTATCAGACTGGCAAGGCCACAACAGTGTTCATTGTACAGTCCCTAATGATGAAGGAAAAATTGTGTTAATTTATATTGTTATCTGTTCACGACATAACTTTGTGCATGTTTGAAGAGAAATCGATTAAACACTACGTTTTTCATATGAAAACTGGTACTTTTGTTTCATTACAAAGTTGTTCATTAACATGTTAAGCACCTTCGGGAAGATACGCTGAATTACTGCTTTGGGAAGATATTAATATGCTGAATTACTGGTTTGGGAAGATACTAATATGCTGAATTACTGCTTTGGGAAGATACTAATACGCTGAGTTACCGTTTTGAGAAGATATTAATACCTTGAATTAGTGCTTTGGGAAGATACTACTACGCTGAATTACTGCTTTGGGAAGATACGCCGAATTACTGATTTGGGAAGATACTAATACGCTGAATTACCGTTTTGAGAAGATACTAATACCCTGAATCACTTCTTCGGGAAAATAGTAATGCGTTGAATTACTATGACCACGTGTATTCACCTATTGCAGTTTGTGTTAGAAGATGCAAATCAAACAAGACACCTCAAAAGTCTCAATTAAATCGCTATAAGTGCTTAAACGTGATGTGGCCAATCACGTAAGTCTTACAGACCTTTAAATCAGAAACTAAAAGTATTTTAATATTCATTCAAGTAAAAAGAAAATGAAAAAATAATTTTGTTATTCACAGTTCAGAGGATTGCAGGTCGCTGAATGTCTTTAGTTACCAGTTGGTGGCTAAATTGACTGTAATCAACTTCAAGTTAAACATGATAACCATAATTGATTTATCAGTGGCATTTTAAAGACATCCAAGGATGAAGAGTTATTTACTGTGACATTCTTCACATATGTTTACGTAGCTGTAAATGTAAAAATAGGGTACGTGATGTGTGTGAACAGATTTAGAAATGAGCATCTGAATTTGACAGCAGCAAAATGTTTTAACTTATCTTATTAGATACCTGAAAATCTAACTTATAGTAAGCTAAATACAAAACAATTATCCCAGTAGCATTCTGGTTAGATTCTAAACTAAATACCCTTACACATAAGTGAAAAATTAGCGGTACTAAATATTTAATTATAGAATATGCTAACTAGAACACGGACACTAAAATAACTGATTGTTATAGGAGTTGAAAATACAAAGCTATAATTCTTCAAAGTAAAATAATCAAAACAATGATAATATACAAAGTTATATACCGCTTATAATGAAGTAACAGAGCACTAAGCTACTCAGTGTGATACAAAACAATAATTAAAAACCAACTCGTAACAAAAAAGAATAATTACTACGTTTCACCTTGTGACTGGGGGTGAAAGGAAGATAATTTCCACACACACTGTTGACCACGGTAGGAGAAAACCGTTAAACTCCTGACGCTATTCAATAGAGCGTCCGCCATTACCACATTTCAAGTTGTGACTGGGAGTGAAAAGAAGATAATCTCGATACACTGTTGACCACGGTAGGAGAAACCCGTTAAACTCCTGACGCTGTTCAATAGAGGGTCCGCCATTACCACATTTCAAGTTGTGACTTGGAGTGAAAAGAAGATAATCTCTATACACTGTTGACCACGGTAGGAGAAACCCGTTAAACTCCTGACGCTGTTCA